GCTCCGGGGCGCCGACAAAGCAGCCGCACGGGGCAAAGCAGCGGCACTGGCCGGCACAGCCGCGCTGGCCGAAACAGCCGCGCTGGCGACCGTGGAGCACCTCTGCCCGGGAATTTCCTAGTCTGTGGGCAATAAAAACACGGCGTCCACTCACCCTCTGCGCTTTCACTGGGAGCTGCAATCCTGAGCTGTTCCTAAACGGCCATCTTGGATCGGAAATCTGGAATTACTTTTCTAAGACAGAAGTTATCAGTTCTTCAAAGTTGGCAGCACTTTTTTTATATAATTTTTTGGGCCAGGACCTATTTGTAGTTCCATTGCAATGTGTCATATGATAAATAGGAACTCATCTTTCTTTTACAGTGAATTTTTAATAAATATAAACCCAGATATTTGATGTTACAAAGGGAATAAGATACCATTTAGCTATACACTAAAATTTAGACAATAATTATTGCACTACGTATACTTTCGAGTCAGCCTACCTAATGGGTTATACAGAAACATGTACAATATTCAACGCCAGTGTGTTTCATCTTAAGTTCTCTCACAATCTCTGCACTTTTTACCCCTTAGGACATACGGGACGGTTATTAAAGTCTCTCTGCTTCACCAGTCTTTCCTTCCTGCTGCTGCACATCATCTTCCACATCACGTTGGCGAGTCTTGAAGCTCAACATCGTATTGCACCTGGCTACAACTGTGAGTATTATGGTGATTTCTTTCTTTATGTTATATACGTGTGTAATAAAGCTGTGTGTTATCACACACATAGAAACCTATGCAATAATTAAATTATAAAATTCATGGAAATTTTTGGTCTTTGGCAATGCAGTGTAAATATATAAAAAGAAGCTTTGCCATAGAAAATTGGGTGATGAGATTAAGTTTATTAATGACTCTTCAACATGTGTTGGAGATCATCCCCTATCTGCATGCAAATCATTATCATTGAGCTTAACCTAAGATTCAGTAGTTACAGACAGCCCGTCGAGCTTTCAGTATAGTCAGTTAAAAAAATATATACAATTTCTAACGTCATGAATAAAAGTATAAAAGTTGAATAATATTATATAAAATTATATGGCAATGACGTTAATCCTATTATAAAGTACAATGTAAGATTTCTCATGTTTTTATGGGAAAAATGTAATGACACATGTAGTTTCTCTTTCATATTGGAAGTTTTTTTTATTGATATTTAAAGGGAAGCAGTATTTCTTAGACATCTTATATTTTGAAGTTATGATCTGAAAGAGTCAATATACATATTTTATCTAGATAGTATTATCTTTTGAAAATGTTCCTGTCATTGAATAAATCATGCTTCAGTTTTTGTAGGATGTGTGATTGTTACTTGAAAAAATAGAAGCATTTCAAGTAGGTAAAAGCAATTATATGTTTTCTGTTAAGCTACGGAAACCCTGAGATATTTGAAATAGACTGTAATAACAGTTGTAACTTGTCAGTTTTTCTTTGAAGAACCCATTTGTGGGATTGAAATTTCCTGACCTTTCACAAGCACAGGTAATATGAAGCAAATCCACTCTTCCCTGTAAAGTAAAAAGGAAATAAAAATTCTTCATGGATCAAAGAGTATTTGTTTAAATACAGTGAGGAATCCTTCAGTAAAATTTATATTCATAAACTAGCCATTATCCCTCACTGTATAGATGTTAGAGAGCTAAAGTTAGTATTCATTTCATTTTATCGATTTCAGTGTAATTTTGATAACAATGCCTATCAAGATGATTTTTTTAAGATCTATTTTTAAGGTATTTTTAATTGAAATATAATTCACATATTATAAAACTCATCCATTTGGAATATATAATTCAGCAGTTTTTAGCATATTTAAAAGGTTGTGCAGCTATCACTACTAATTCCAAAACACTGCCATCATCCAAAGGAAACTCCATACCCTTGAATAGTTATTTCCCATTCCCTTTCCAGCCATCTCTAGGCAACCACTAATCTGCTTTCTATCTTTATTAGATTTGCCTATTCTGGACATTTTATCTATATGCAATCACACAATCCGTGACTTTTGTATATGACTTCCTTAATTCAGCATAAAGTTTTCAAGATTTGTCAATGTTGTAGCATGTATCAATACTTTAATCCTTTTCCTGGCAGTATAACATTCAGTTGTTAAAATGTGGTTTTCATGTTTGTTAAAAACCACGTTATCCCATTATTAAAGCCTTCATGAAACACAGTGTTTAAATAAGGGTATTTTGGTTATGTTACCTTGATAAAAAGCATTTACTATTTTTGGCCAGGTTCAAATCTTTCTGGACTTAGTAGAAATGTTAGCAGCAACAATGCTGATAGTAGTATTGTCTTATAAGATACAGTGCGTATTAACCAAAAATCCTTTGGCTGTTTCTTAACAAGCCACTCTCAGGACCATAAGGAAGAATCTTATAACTAAAGGTGTTGTCTAGATAAAAGGCTTTTTCAAAAATGATGAGTTCTTCATCATTAGAAATATTTTTAAATTTTGAGCATATATATATATATATATATATATATATAACTTATTCATGTATGCAAAAAATTTTAGGTTGCTAAGTAATATAGGAAGGTGGGTGGAGGGTAGAAGTGAAATTTATGATCTCTTTTGACTCACAGAGTCTAAGTGTTTCTATTTTGGATTGATGATTTTCCATAATTCTACAAAGATCAAAATAAAAATGCGATATGAAATGCTAAAACAACATTATTTTCTCTGCATTTATAACTGCAGTTACTCTGTTTATGTTCTCCATAGGGTATAGACAGAAAAGCAAGCTTACACACACACACACACACACACACACACACACACACACACACACACACTTGTTCTTGCTTTGGCTCTTTCTCCAGCAAAAATTCAAAATACTTGGACACTTCAGGTGGGACCTCTATTAATATCATGCAGAAGTCTGTATTTTCCAGTGGTGAAGGGAGGTGGCCATCTCAGCTGTAGTCACAGCTGGCCCCTTGACCTACCTCTTCCCAAGCCTTCCTTGCCCAACCAGTATTAAGGAGCTAGGTCTGCCCCTCCTAACCTCACTCCTAAATATATGGGCTTTTTGATATTATGATATTTCCATGTCTCTGTCAAAGATATTTTTTATTCATGCACAAATGCCCTCTACACTCATCCTATACTGTAATATATTTGAACATGTCAGTGTCTAACATAACATCTTCCCTTTCCTTTTTCTTTTGCTGTACCCAGATGAAAGCTCTATGCTGTTACGAGTCAATTTAATAGAAGTCATAATAGTAAACTTTATTTCCGCAAAGTTAAATTCCAATTTGAAGTTTATTTCTACAAAAAGTTATAGTTCCAATTTAAAGTTCCAGTATTTTTGATGAAGTAACCAGTAGAGAAGACATATGTGAAAGACTGAGGGGGGAAAAATTGAGTTTTTTACTTCCAGCCATACTAATCTTGAAGGTGGGTTTATAGAAATCACAAATTTCTCCTGAAAACCTAGTGATGCCTGTAATCGCATTGGCTCATCAGGTATTGCAGATTATTTTTGGTTTAGCTTTATGTGTAGCATTTAAAATTAATACATTCTTGAAAAGGGATAAAAGGGAAGAACAAACAAACTTCAGAGCTTTGCAAACTAATTTAGTCCAAGATTGACACAGACCAGGTTTTCAGCCCAGAGCACTTTTTAATGATCAAGTTATATAAACTGAAAATACTGTTAGGGTGGGTAATGGAAACACTGACTTTTTAATTTAGAGTTGACTTCACTTCACTAATGTTATTGTTTCTCAAGTATTTGGAATTATTATTATGCCATCGGAGTTGTAAACACAAGCTCAATTATTTCAATATACCAAATTTGAAGTTTATCCTTTTTTGGCATCTGCATAGATAACATAGCAAAAATTCAAATAAAAAGACAAAAGCTGTCTTGGCCATCAGCGTTGAACATTTTGAACGTTTTCTCTATCTTCAAGACATTGGTAAATTAAAATTAAAACCCAGGTAAGTCAGGTTATCGAATCATATTCAAGTAGAATTCAAATTCAAAATCACCATGTGCTCCTTTATGTGTGCTGAATTTTGAATTTTGTTTTCCTAACTGCTTATTTTCCCCATTTAAAACGCATACCCTCACCCTCATTATCACAAAAGGTTCCAGCATCTCTTAGGAATCTGACATAAGTTTTGGTGGGACAACAGTAGCATTTATAAATATTGAGTCATTGAAAGTTTTTGTTACCCCAGAGTCCTGTGAATATTAACTGGCAGTAATAAAGATTTTTTCAAACCACCGTATTTAGATTTTGACTAGTTGGCAGGTTTGATAAAGGTGCCATTGTGCAGTACTGTAACTTAACACCACTCCCTTCTACCTTTTTTTTTTTTTTTTCATTTCCAAAACAGTGCTCTTATAGGTAAGTGAGGAGTCCATGGGGCAGGGGAGACCTCTGTAAATATTGCTCAAACATATGTTGTGCCGCTTACTAAAACATTTTCATTCCACCAAAACTATGCTACTTAAATAAATGTAAACCCGGTTTCAATTATGTCATTACAGATTACATAGAAGTAGTTTGTTTGACTCCGTGTTAGATTTGTGGCAATGTTAGTGAAATTTGAAGGCCGGTCTGGATTCTTGTGCTGTGCTTAAAGCATGCTATTGATTGAAAGAAACTTTTGAGTTAGCAACTATACAGGAAAAATTTGTGATGTTAATATCTCCTGTTTATAGAGCATTTATGAGCCATAAGACCCCATGGATTATTCTATTACTTTTTCAATTTATGACTCCTTCCTTTCTTGTTCCAGGCAGGCTTTGCTATTCTTTAAGTAAGACACTCCCTGTATCCATGCACTGCCCTATTCATTCTCTAAACAAGTCCTTAGGGTGGACAAGGCTATGCAGCTGGACCACTGCGGTCTGTGTGCAGGCCCCAGCCTGAGGAGGAACTGAGCAGGAGAGTCCTTTGTTAGGCTCCATCCAGTGGGAGACAGTGGAATCCTTTTATTTATGTCAAGAGGCTGGTCTCCTGGCCAAGCCTTGCCCACGGAGGGCTACGCCTTTGTGTAGTCTCTTCTCTCCAAGACGGTGCCCTTTTTCTGTATAAACGCAGTGCCCAACTTGCAGGTAGTGCTGAGGTAGGGATTACAATGAAGAAACAGGCACTAGAGGCCAAATGAATTGCAGGAAGCCATTGCGTGTCTCAGCTGGAGTCTCAGCACAGATCTGTCTGGCCTTCCATCCTCCCCCCATCTTTACGGAGCTGTTTATTCATCGTGTGTGTAAGATTGTTTCCTCCACTGTGGTTCTTAGGACTTTAGATAAGTCTATTTTCAAAGGACTAAAATTAGCTATTCTCTTATTCGTCCAGCTGAATATTTTCTTTGCATCCTTCAATGGCAGCATTCCTGGTTGGATTCAGCTTCCCCCAAAGCTTACACCCTCAGATGCATTGCTCTTTCGCCCTGCAGGAGGAGGGTCATCCAGAGTTTCATCCTTTCTCATTCTACAAGCGCATGAAACTTGCTCCAGAAGCCCACCAACCAAGAAGTTAGGACAGGCCTCCATAGTTTTTTTCCTGACATGCTTCTGTCCTTGAAATGCACAAGGCTCCCAATGCCAAGGATCAAGGTACATCGGCCTGTGATAAGAAGACGGAGGGACAGACCCAGCCTGGCAGTTTATCCTCCCATCCCGATGACTGTG